TGATCCCCAATTCAGGCCAGCCGGCCCGCATTAACATAATTTTAAGAAACTCACGATGTAATCCTATCCCGCGCATCCCGCATCCCGCGCGGGATATTTTGGAAAACTGTGATTTGCCCATCACTACCCCCCGGGAATAACAATTCTAATGCCCCGGGCTATCATTCCAACGTCGACTTAATCAAAGGCCACCTTACCTAACCGTCAATATCATAATAGGAGAAACATACGTGGAAAATAAAATTTAGCCCGCTTACATAATATATCAAAGCATATGAATGATTTCTTATAAATAGGATTTTATTTAAATTAGAAGATTTGATCTATGGCCTCTTACAAGACGATAAGTATTTTATTGAGAGGTAATTTCTGAACACCACTTTCGAAAGAAGCTATAGAAAGACGTGTGAAGAAATGATAGCTGGGTTGATATGAATCTGATCAGGTCCAAGAAATATTAAATCAAATTTGACTTGGCCCATTAAAGGTGCCTCTTTGAAGCATATAATTTTCTTATTAATATGTATATTGCTGTTCTGGCAACTTTTTTTTATGAATTAAAGAGGGGTTCTATGGCCTCGTCATTTTTATTTTAACGCGATTTGTATGAGTGGACAAAAATTAGTCATGATTTTCATGTTTTAAATTTGTATAAGTGGGTATAACACAAAGTGATCTGATGCAAAATTTTAGAACCCTTATTTTACAATTATACCTTTTTATTTCCGTAGAAACCGTAATACAACTGACAAAATCTGATTTATTTTTCTGTAAGGTAAGACATTTCGTGTCTGTACAGGCCTAGCTAAAAATTTGTATGAATTGATTAAAGTTTTTTTTCATTCTTTTATAAGGTCACCAAAGCCATGCAGTGTTTTAAACCACTTTTTAGTATACCACGACATAATAACTCGTCAGTTAAAAATTTATGATATTTCTAGGATAATCCTTTCTTTCTATTACACTTCCGATAACCCATTGCCAAAAGCCTATGCACGCCAATATTTATTGTGAAGGATTAAGAAAATTTTATTTAAAAAAAATTTAAAAAAAATCTGTATTCATTTTCTCGATTAATGTGAAAATCAATTAGTTCTAATATTCGATGAAGAACCACTCGAATGAGATCTGAGTAAATATCTTTTAAATCCGTGAGGATAATTCCGCGACTTGATTCCTTAGCTGTTTCATACGCACCAGGCGTATATCCACTTTCCCATTTCTCTTTTCAATAATTGTGGGGATGATCGTGAAATCGGATGATGCTGAAATTTTTATTTATTTTATTATAAAAATTTAAAAATTTTTAAGGCCTTTTTTGTTAGCCTTTTTTTTTTTTAGGTTAAGGTTAAAGTTTAGGGATAGAGTTGTTAATAAAGAGTACGTGTGGATTTTAGTAGGTATTTTATATTTAAATAGAGACCCTATATTTCAGCTTCGTACTGTAAGGGTACAGGTCGAGAGACCCTATCAATTCACGCACGACCGAGGGGCCTATAAAATATAATAAATGATAATTATTTTCTTGATAATTCAAAAAGAATACTTACCTATCTGCTGTGTTTCCCAATTTTTGCATTGCACAACAAACGGCAGCACTCCAAATAATTCTCCCTTAATATCGATTCCTTTAATAAAATAAAAAACTTGAGTAATGTGTATATCGTTTACAATTATAGAAGAACGTTCACGTCGAGGACATGGCTGCGAATAGTTTTCAATTCGATAGTTTATACATCCTATTCACCATAAATCCAGCAGGGCGCCAGCGATTTCTGGATCTCAGAAACTGGAAAGAAAGTTCACGACCGAAACCGTGGCCACGAAGAGCTTTCGTTTCCCAGATAATTTATACCGATAGTGGCAGCGTAACTTCGGATATACAACGTCTCACATAACTCCGTGAAAACTCACCCAGTATCCACGCAGTCTACACCTTTCTCAAAAATTCATCAGTAGCATCCTCAAGTTTAGGAATGGGCCACTACACAGCCTGCGCGGTGTGATTTTTTAGCTGGTATAATTCTGGACAACTGGAATAAAATTATATCTCTACTATATATTATGCGCATTTCATGCGCAGGCTGCGCAAAAAATTTGAAAAATTCACAATTTGTCCATCCCTGCTCAAGTTCCTTTGTATGTCGACTTATCAACTTCGGCAACCTAATCAGCGATAAAACGAGCAATGGAATTATTGCAACTCATTTTAATTTTAATATCGAATCCTCATTACTCCTTTTTCGTTGTGAACATTTCTTTTTTTTTTTTCTTTGTCGAGAAAACGTGGTATTATTTCTCGATTCATTCATAAAGAGAAATATTATCATAAAAAAAAAAAACATGCTGAAAAACTATTTTTGAAACCATTTATTTTCAACAAATTTATCTTGACTCAGATTATTTAAGGTTTAAATAAATTATGCATGCGGAATTTCTATTATGCATTTGTACAACTCATTATCTAAATCAGAATTTTGATTTATTTAGATAGCCAAAATAATTTATCCGGAATTTGTTATGGGCTTTTTCTCAAATTGATACGAATGAAATGATGTTAAATGTTAAAGATATATAAATAAGTATTTATGTTTATGATTTGCTGATGTTAATCCACTGAATAATAGCTCATTCTTATACTCACATGTTGAATGAAGAGAATTAGGTAAAGAAAAGTTATTATTTAATTTCACCCGGATAATAAATCATCTTTATACTGACCGAATGAAATAATTTGAAGGGAATTATATTCTGGAAAGTATTTATGTTCATGATTTACTTATTTAATTCCAACCGAATGAATATTTTGAAGGGAATTATGTTACGGGAAAGTGCTAATAATAAATCATCACATTCACCGGCTAGAAAATAAGTGTTTATGCTAATTCAACCGGATCAGCCGACGAGACAAAAACAAAAAAAAAGTAAAAAACGCAAAAAAAGAAGAAACGAGTGTCTAAACCTATTTCGGTGCACTAATGAAAAATGTCGAGAATATAAACCTAACCCCTAATTTTAGTAAAAAAAAGTTAACTTTAATATGACCGCACACTGCTTTAGATGATCCCCTTTTTTGTATATAAAAAATAAAACAACTTATCTTAGAAGCGATTCTAACAATATGTAGCACAAAGTTATTGCATTAAATTTTTAACTTTTTTAAGATGAAATAACCAATAAAAAATTCATGTTTTTTTTTGAGTAAAGTTTGGAAAGCAAGTTAAGATTAGTATTTCGATCCTATTTCAGACAGACCATCCGGATTGAATCCGTCTCAGATTATATATTAAAGCTAACTTTTGGACGCATCCTTAGGTCCGTTATTTAAGTTCTTTGTCTAATCCGAGTAAACATCTCTGATTTGGATAGCTGAGTTTATCTAGATTTAGGATTAATTCAGATCTCGGATTACGGATCGAAACACTATAGAAAATAGCTTTATACGATATTGATATCAGATATCATTATGTGGCTGTAATTGATAACCAATCGTAACCATTTTGCGACGCAGCAATTGTGTGCATATTTAGAGCATATTTTAGATTTATATTGTTTAGATTTCGCTTTTCCACGCAACTTTTATTCAATATGAGTGGTAGAAGAAGAGCCGATTCGCTGAAGGGTTTGTCGCTTCCAAAATATAACCGACCTCAAACTGAAGAAGAGATGGCTTCGATGCATAACTATAGAGATAGGTAAATAAACTTATGTTTAATTAAAATAACTAATACAAGCAAGTCTTTTAAATCAGTCTTTACTTGTAGTGGCATCCTTCTTCTCTCTTTAACTCAATCTCGACAAGCTTGGACAAGTTCTATTTTAAGAAAGTTTTCTAGCAAACAAGAAGTTGTTTATCAACCTAAATTACCAGAATATACAAATCCCAATGCGATTGTTTCATTACTGGGAAAATGTCATATTACCATAGGACCACACACTTTTTATGACACTAAAATTTATGAGGCCGTATATGAAAAAGAAATGCCGAATCCGGATATCCCAGTTGGAAATTTTCAAATTCAGCAACCAACACAGCTGGGATCGCTCCAATCTCCAGCACAACAGCAACAGCAAACGCAATCAAGTACACCAAATTTAGCACAAACTCCGCAATCTGTTATACAAATGCCACTACAACAACCGTCTACTGCAACTCATACACAACAATCGTCTCAAATGAAAACTCCGTCAGCTTCAACGACACAGTCGTTTCCTAGACCAATACATCCTGCTATACAGCCGAGGCCGCAATCACAATCACAAACGCAAGTACCGATTCAACCACGAGTTACTTTACCAAGGATATCTGCACGTCCAGCTACTAATACACCTCCAGCTACTAATGCACCTCCAGCTCTGGCTTTGCCTATAAATAGTTCTGGAACAAATACAAATGGAAATGTCCCATCATCGCCTGCAAATACAAATGCAAGTGCTACATCTTCCATGCAAACGAATGCAAATATCACAGCTTCATCTGCAAATTCGAGCGGTACATCTTCATCTTTAAATGTGAATGCTAATACACCAAAAGTTCCACCACAAGCTACGCCACAACTCACTGCTTTCATGCAAACAGTACTTCAATCTGTTAATCCAACTCAGATATTGGCCATTCAAGAACATTTGCGTCATCCTCAAGTGGCAGCTCACATGTCCCTTGAACAAAAAAACGCGTTGATCAGTCAATTAACAATTATCCATCAATTATTGACATCAACCCAATTATCTCAACAGAAACCTCAACAGCAATCAGTTCATTCACGAACACAGTCTCCTGCGATGAGAGTTAGACAAGTTGTTAGGCACGAGGTCCTGTTAGAGTTTAAGGAAACTAAGAATGATAAATGGTTGTTTCCAAAGGACGCAATTTTAGAAGCAATGTCAATGTCTGAACCTTATGATGTAAGGTCATTCACGTTCCTTTCGAATTTAATTAATTAATAGGACACTGACAAGAATAATATTTTTAAGGTACTTGCATCGTTTTATCTTCCTCAAAATGAAGACACATCAAATTCCAAGCAGCAACATCAGCCTGTTACGATGCATATGACTAATATAACTCAACCGATGTTGGATGCTTTAAAAAAAGCTACGAATGATGTAACTACTGTCTTTAAATCAATGGTTGAAAAGGTAAGATATTAATAGGATTTAATATTTTATATATGGTGATTTAAAATATGTATTTAAATAATAATCAAATATAGGCAAACAAGCAACCCAATCGTGTTTATTTGCAATACTGTTTGCCTTGTGATTATCCCGAAGACTTATTAGAGGTAATTTTAATATATCCTGCCGTTATATGGGGGTGAGTCAATAGAAACGCACCAGATCTTTTTTAGTGAAATATTTTTATAACTTTAAATGAATATTATTTGATAAGATTATATCGAAATTTAATAAAAAATTTTTTAAATAAATTCTATAAAATTTTAGAATTAATTTAAAAAATTTTTTATTATATTTGGTTAAGTCTTTGCTGAGTTATTTTTATTTAAAGTTTCAAAAAAATTTACTTAGAAAAAATCTGGTGCGTTTCTATTGACTCACCTCCATATATATATTAACGAAAAATAAATTATAACTTTTATTTATTAATTACAGGCAATTGGACAAAAAGTTTCTAAATTAGACGGAACCATGGTCGTTGATACTATAATTCCGCCAAAAGAAAAAAAAACGTAAACTTGAAAAAGAGAAAGATACGGATATAGAAATAGATATCGAAGATATTAAAGATGGTGAAATAGATATCATGGATTATGTAAGAAATTCCGTATAATTTATTTAAGCTTAATTATATAATACATATTTAAAGTAAAATATTAATAAATTTAAAAGGTTGAACACACGACTAAAAAGCAAAAATCTAGAAACGGGGAAGGTAGCAAAACAACATCAAGGGCATCAACTTCGGCTCCAAAGAAAGCAAAAACAGTGCCTGATGTTGCGGCTCATGCAGCGCCTGTTTCAACATCTGGATCCAGTGGAGGTAACAAACGTTGTGCTTATTGTTTTTGTAAGAGTACTCCTATGTGGAGAAGAGGTCCTGATGGTGCTGGTAAGTAGACATGTTCTATATAGTACGGAAACGTACATTCCAATTTAGGGTGGTTTAAATTCAACACTATGTTATGCACATGCGCTAACTCTAATGATAATTTCTTTAAAAATTGTTGGTGCTTTAACTTTGATGGTGATATTATATTAATATATTTATAGGGACTCTTTGCAATGCCTGTGGTGTGAAATGGAAACAAGGAAAGATATTGCAGGGTACTAATGCTAATCGTGCCACTGAAGCCAGCGGTGACTCTGTGACAGTTGCACCAAGTCCTAAATCTAGAAAATATTCATTATCAGCTGCATGCACTTCTCCTACTGCACCTACAGCTGTAAAAGCTAAAAAGAAGCCTGGACGATCACTTTCAATTAGCGAAGGTGCGTTATCACTTACTGATGATGATGAAAGCCGAGATAAGAATCTTAGCAATACTGGAGAAAATTTAAACCCAGAGTCACAAAAGAGTGGTAGTGGCAGAAGAGCATCTGCATCATCAAAGAAAAATAGTTTTAAAGGTTAATGTTTGTCAATATTTTTTTTTGTGATATGCAATACGATAGTTTTTAAATCGATTGTGAAGGACTTATTTGGATATATTCCGATAAGTTCCAATATTATTATCATTACAATGAAACTGTGATAGCTGAGCCTAATCTATCCGTTTTGTAATCAGCAACAACTGCCATAGTCTTTGGTGGTGAGATTGCAGCCTCTCCAGGCAAATGTTTTTTTTTTTTTTTTTCTTTTTACATTGGTTGTTAAATTTATAAATATGTTTAATTAATAAATATCAAATATTATACTACTTATATACAATAGACCCAGAATCACCAGACATTGTATCCAGTCCATCACGATCACCACAGTACACATCCATATCCACTGCAACAGGAGGGGTAGGATTACCAACATCTCGCGCTTCTACTACAACATCTACACCAACAACAAATTCTCCAACCATACTTGGTGGTGGTATTGGGTTTCCAATAAATTTGAAATTAAATTCAATCTTGTTTGGCTCTTCAGGAAATAATTTGATTGGAGGAAATAATAATAACAGTAATCAACAAGATGGAAATTATTATTTCTCACAACCTAATTGTAGTGCGCAAGTTTTCGAAGATTGTCTAAAAATAAGATTGGAAAAAGATGGATACGAAAAAACTAGCATTGATATTTGGAAAGAAAATTTAGATTTTTTAAATTTTGAAAATGAAAGAGATTTGGCTACTGGAATTCCATTACTTTCAGTTCAAGCATACGTTACTCAGCATTTGAATAGGTTTGTTAACAATCGAACTTGTTTTTTATTAAATAACAAAGAATTTAAAATTATTCACTTATATTTATTATAACTTTATTAGGTTCGATCAAGAACTATTAAACCCTGATCTCAATAATACTTTGGTAACATTCAAATTTATAAATTTGAATGTTAACTTTAGGCCTACTACTACAATTATTGAAAATAATGGGAGTGGTAATGATATATTTAGAAGTGGTGAAAGTAGAGACCTTAAAACATTTTTAGAGAAATGGGTATCTTCAGGAATTAATATTACAAAGTAAATATTACTTTATGGGTGATAATCTTTATGCAGAAAAAAAAATTTCGTGTTCAATTGTTTTTAAGTTAGAATGGTTAGGTTAGGCTAGTGTTTAGGCTAGATTATTTCGGGTATATACACATTTTCCCTTAAAAAATAAAAATAAAAAAATTGGACAAATAACAAAGTTAAAAGAAGCTTAAGTATATAAAGAAATTAGAAAATGTCAACTTTTAACAGAGGTAAAAAGCATATTCAATAATAAAATAATGCATCATGATGAAATTAAAACATCCAATTAGCATGTTAACTGTTAATCACTGTAATTATAAATTACTACCAAAAGCTTAATTCTGCTCATGAAGTGTCTTTATAAAATAAATAATTAGTTCACGCTGTCTAATCTACTCGTATGAGACGTTACTACCAGACGAACTGTTTTTTTCATTGTCTGCGTCTTCTCCCATCTCATCATCACCCTCACCATCATCCTGCCCAATTGCAAATTTCTTTTTGCTCGGTTTATTATGGGGAAATAAAAGTGGTGCCGTAAGATCCTCCTCATTAAGCCTATTTAGAAATTTTGTTACAATATAAATAATTGCGGTATTCATAACGTGTGGTCAACTTACCTTCTAAATTCATAACCACCTTCACCGTCAAACCGAAGAAGCCATTCGTGATATTTAACTATAATATAAATATATATTTAAATAAAAAGAAACGTTTAAAAAACAATAAAACCCAGATACATACACTAAGATTTATATTAATTCACAGAAATGGTTATGTTGATTAATTTCAATTTTATTTTATTTTATAATAAAAAGTAAAATCAATTTACTTACTAATGAGTGTCTGTGTGAAACTGTAAATAATGTTATGTTCAAGTCACGGGCGTGTGTATACATAATACCTTCTACATCAACACTCACGGCACTCGTACACTCATCAAGGATCGCCTATTTTATAATATAAAAATATTAAATATTTCATATATTCTCCAAAAAAAAAAAAAAAAAAAAACAAAAAAAAAAAAAAATTTACAAATTGAGGCTTATGATAAAAGAGCCTTGCCATAGCCACTCTCTATAAGCAAGCAAATTATTAAATTTGACTGGAAAATAACAATAGGAATATCAAGTTTTTTATATGTTGATTATTTGCCTGTTTTTCACCTCCAGACAGAACTTCGGCCCAATCCCGAACCGCGTCCCATCCACCTTCTCGCGCAATTAAATTACTCAATTGAACGACATCAAGTAATTCCATTAATTTGCTATCTTCAAACCCTTTAGAACGAGCTACATTTTTAGTATCTGGATAAATAATCTATTTTCGTTTTCAATTAAATAACAATGTTTAATTACGCACATATATATGATTTAATACAATTCAATAATTAAAATACATACTTGATCACGGAACGTTCCAAGTGCCAAGTACGGTTTTTGAGGTATATAAAACAATTTAGAAGCTGGGGGCTTGGTAACAGTCCCACCTAATAATAATAATTATAATTGATTAACCTAAGAATAAAGCCAAGTGATTCTGTTAAAGTAATTAACCCACCAAACAAAGGCCATAATTCGCCGAGAATGCGGAATAAAGAACTTTTTCCCTACAAAAGTGATATGAAAGGACATCAAAAAGACGTAGAGCTAAATAAATTTACTAAAAGATTTAATACTTACACATCCATTGGGCCCAAAAATAAGACAGTTCATTCCTGTTTCAACTTTGAAAGACAGTTCATGAACCTATAAAAGGTGCACATATTAGAATTAAAAGCCGATAAATAACGAATTAAAACAGTAAATGAAACTATAATATACCAATACATCCTGACTAGGCGTTACAAGCGGGACTTTTTCAAAAATAATAACACCATCGCGTGCTACGATTTCGCCATCAAGGTCACTTTGTTTCACGACTATTACATTTAAGTAAAATACATAGGTTACATTATGATTATTTTATAGTGTCATGTTGAAAATGTCTATTTACCTTTACTAATGTTGGCCTCATTTGTGTCTTTGTTAACAACGGTGCGTTCATACCTGCCATTATTAACATCGTCTAGTACTTCCAAAAATTCTGCCACACGAGCCTGTTCAAAATAAATTTTTTAAAACCCTACCAAATATATCTAATAAAGGTATCGGATATTCTATAGAATAGGTGGGCAAACTCCGCTAAACTCCGCTGAATATATTAAAGATTAATGATTACTAATCATTAGCGAAGCTTATTTCTTATATTGCCCACCTATTCTATAGAACATCCAAAGTGGTCGTAAATACAAAAAGGTTAAACGCACAGTATACCCCGAAAACCTGGTCAAATCACGTCCAGCTAAAATTAACCTTCCGACAGCTTGGGACAGGTTCACAAGATAACCGGCTGTATAAAAGAAATATTGCATTAATAAATGTAATAATTATTAAATATTCGAAGCATGATATTATGCTGTTCCAGAACTCACAATTTCTCGAATAATCTTCCATAATCTTTGTTGGATCGGCGTCAAGTTTACCCATAAATTCGGTAGCTATGTAGGAATGTGATTAATTATATTAAAGTGAAGTGTAACTTAGGAATGAGACCTATTTTAATGACTTACCATATCGCGGGTCAAATACAGGCCTTGCTAATAAGCTAGAATGGATTGCAATATATAAAAATAAGATAAAAGCCATAAATACCGTAGAAAATTATAATTAACTGATCACTTACTAATAAGCAGTCATCGTTGCACAATATTTAACTAAAACCGAATCAATGATTCCGTTCATAAACCGGAGACGATATGTTTTTTTAATATGTTTCACAATTTTATCAAAGCTTCCATTGACCACTATTTGTTCCCGTTCACCACCACCATAAAAAGCAATTTCTTCCGAGTAATTAATGATACGCGACTAAATATTAAATGGAAATAAGTAAATGGCATTTTTTTAAAAAGAAAATACTAGGACAAATAAGGAATTTTAATTCTCACATGTGTAAATCGAAAATCACCCTCAAGTTTTTGCTCTATAGCAGTGTCTTTGAAATACATACATATCAGTTACATGAACAAAATGATAAATTACAAAATACGGACCCAGGAATTAAAATCGCACATTTGCCAAATGGAGGTGAAATTGCACGAAGGAGAACACCTGAGGCTAGGAAATATGCAATCATATAAATCGGCGCTAAAATAATATTATTAAGTCAGAAAAAGCATATATATTCTATTTTATTTATCATTATTCAAAATAAGTTTACCTTCTTTGCCACTTTTTACGTGTCAAATAATTGCCAACACGTTAATCAGGCATAATGAAATACAAGTGTTACGATATAACCTAAATATTATTACATACATGGCTTCCCCTAATTTGTAAGCAAATAAGACCATATCAACAATCGGTTTAGCCAAATCTGAATATAAATGGCTTAAGTTCTCTGCGAACTTATCGATATCCTTATAAAAAAAAAATAAAAGATATAATCTGTAAATTTTATAGTAAATATATAATAATAGATATCAATAACTTTAGACTTACCTGAGTCAATAATTGATCTGCATTTTGAATCCGATTATCGATATTGGAAATTTTATAGAACACAATATCCTTTAAGTATTTCTTATTTGCGTACTATATGTTTAAAAATGAAAAAAAAAACATTCAAATACGAATAAAAAAAAAAAAAAAAGCATATAAATTAATGATTACCTTCGTAAGCCGAACTCTGAATGCCAAAGATAATGCACTTATAGTAAGCTTCAACGAATTATTTACAATGCTCATTGGCCACTAATATAAATGATAAAGGAGGTAAACATATTCAATTGCCGTTCGTTTAATAAACAAAAATGGGTCTAGAAATGCTCTACCATCATGAATCCAAATTCAACAATAGCTAGTGCAATAAATGTTTTTCGGTCACGAGATACAATTGCTTTAACAACATGACTATTTATGATAGAATAAAAAAAAAGTCTTTAATAACATTCTAAATTTTTAAAATAAAGATAAAATTCTTACCCATTAAAGCCAGAAAACCTGTTAGATAAAATTAGAAAATAATAGCATTAATCTTAACAAAATTTGCTAAGTAAACCATCACAAAACATGGTCAAGTATCCAATTATTAAAAAAGTCTGCCACGAACAAAAAGTTGACCAGATCAAATTTATTTGTACTGAATTTAATAATTCCACTATTGTAAAGCTAATATCGAGAATTTTTTAAATATATTGCTAATTCCTACCATATATCGAGCCAAGTACGAGCAATTAGCACCAAAGTTAAACTAATTAGTAGCGCTGATTCCTTGGAAGCAAAACCTATCAATGTGGAGAAGGTCAACGTGGGAAATACGCTTTAGATTTATAAAGCCAAGCTCTCCCTACCTGGAATACAAATCGGCATTAACCTTTTAAACTGTGCGAAAAAACGCGCGTCTACACCTATCTTCTTTGTCCGCCTGGCCTTGTCTTGACCAGATGAAGAATTAGATGCCTCATGTGACGCTTTTTTCCTCTTTTCTTCCGCGACATATTGCTTAATAAGATATCCAGCAACGATAACAAAAGCGAATATTGAAAGTCGTTTTTTTGATGATAATAGGAATTTAGAGCTATTGCGGGCTGTAGTAAGATTCTGCCCCATCGTGAGTGAAATCGTGCTAACTTTAAGGAATGGTCGAATATCAAATGATAAAATTGAGAAAGGGTGTAAAAATTAATTAACAAATTCAAATTTTATAATATTATAAATTTAAATATATCATACGTACATATCGATATGTTGGTCACATGTAATTAAAGATTTACAAATTTAATTTCATTATTCCAATTTAATTATACCGATCTATATTACCAGAGATTTTTTTAAAAAAACACTTATTTAAATTTTCAAGTTTTATGCTCTTTTTTCATATTTTGCTCTGATTGGCACTGAATCTTCGCAAAATTGCTACAATACAAGAATTATTTCATATGGGCGAAAATCTCCAATTTCGTGATTATTTAACGTGAGTGATTAGGTTAAATAAAATTTAAGCCAATTATTTATGTGATATAGTATGATTATTGAGATTTTTTGATAAATTTGACCTTAATTATTTTTATGCATACGTACCTGATATAACCTGATCACCTTGCTATCACTTATCACTGTGTTTCAACTGGATATTTTCGTTCATATGTATAATGCTTGTGCACGATCTCGAGGAGTTGCTTGAGAACACTTTAAGAGCGTTCTCAAGCGCCTTAATCAATGATCAAAAAGTGTCGGGGAATAAATTTTACTTAGCGAAAAATTTTTTTTCATAATAAATAATATGCATACTGCGTAATTAAAATATTTTTATTTTTATTAGTACTAGTAATTTAAATTTACAAGCTTTTTATAACAAACCATCTTTTTTTTATACCTGACTCGGAAAACATTTATTATTATTAGAGTATTCATAGAAATTGCTTAAGTTAAATTATTATTTTATTACTTATATTAAAAGTTTTTATAGAAAATAAAAAATACTAAGAAGCTCAAAAAACAATTGCAAATACTTAGAGTAGTGATAGTAGTGTTTAAAATTGGCATATACAAAGTATACATATACAAGAGTTTTTTTAAATATGTAAGAATTTTACAAAAAAAAAAGAATTATTATAACTTATGCCAGTGATTAACGTTAACTATTAATTGTTTTTTTTTTTAAGAAAAATAGTGGTTAATATTAACCGTCAATTATTTTTTATTAAAAAGTTTGAGTTTTAGATTAGGGTTAGGGTTATCGTTATAGTTATGGTAGAGATATAGATATATATGTAAAATTATGAGCTGGAATTTTTATTTAGAAGCCAAATGCCAGTTATTATAATTAAATTTTGAGATATTTATGATTTTATATTGCAACGGTTAACTTTAACTGATAGTGTTAAGGATGTTATCATAGTGAGATGAGTTAATTGAAGTAATTGGTTCATAACAATTTTTCTATGTTGAGCTAAAAATTTGTTGATTAGTAGGTTTAAAATCAGTCCATTGGTTGAAGTGACTTCTGATTTGTTCCTTGATAAGTTTAGGATCAGTTATTAATTCTGTATCTGTTTTAAAATTTTGAAAAGAAACATGATCAGTATGCCTATCAAGAATACTATTAATCATTTTAGTTGGTTGTGTTTGAAGAGCAGAGCATCATTTTTCTGTTGCTATATTAATTTGTTGTCGAATATGTGATGAGTTTTCTATTTCTCGAGCTTTGTGTAAGGTTTTCCAGGTAGTTGTACAGTTAGAACATCTTACATATTGGTGTTATACATATTTGCTTTTGAGTCAAGAAGTTTTAGGAGCATTACTAAGTATAGTAAAGTAATATTCAACATCATCTGAATCTTGTTTTTGCCTTTTTCTAGTTTGATCAGCAACTAGTATACCTGAATAGTAATTGAAAATTGACTTTACTAATTGCTTTCAGAAATCAACATGCTTTATATTTTGTTTTCTTAGAACAAATTGACAATATATGAAAAAGCTATTGGCCTCTACAATTGAAAGATAAAAGGCAAAAATTTGATCAACTGAATGTTTTGATACAAGAACATCATGATATGAAAGTGTATTATCACACAAATTATTGAGAATATCTATAGCCAATTTATATTCACAATACTCATCAAATAAAACAGGATAATAAAATTTTATATTGCCACAATTTTTGATATATTGCTTTACTTCTGATCTAAGAGTTGTTATAGAACAACTAGCAAGAAGTACAATTTTTTTGTGATCATGAATTGAGTACATAGTTAAATTGATATTATTTATTGAATGAGCTTGACTAACAAATGATCTATATGCATCTTCAAATACATTTGTAATATTATTAAGAATATATTTAGATTAGTAATTATATTTTGTTATTTGTAAAATAGAATAAAGCCTATTATTATACAAAGTAGTGTATTTATTTATCTATACTGCCAAACTAGAAATCATTAATAATTATTCTACTACTATAAAACTATAGTTCAGTTAATCTTAATACAGATGTAACAGTAGATAGGTATTAGTCTGAAAATTTTTTTTTATAGCATATTCTAGAGGTTCTACAAGATCTAGTCTTAAAAACAAATTAATCTGTATATCCACAATAGCTTTGAATTTACAATTAATTAGATGAGGTTTTCTTAGTATTTTATATTAGAATAGCTCTTTATCAATCTTATCTATCTATTAGTACATTAATTTGTTAATACAAAGGTAAGAATCAGATAAAATAGTCATTTTAAAATTCTTATTAAATATGTAATAAAACTAGTATATGAAATAAAAAAGATCATTATTACCTTCTAATATATTAGTTAGTTTTAAAAATTTTATTATTTTTGAAACTGCTAGTGTAGTATGTACTGACTAAATATTAATAAAACTCCTTTTGTTTCTTGTTTATTTGTTTAATAATTACAAATATCTGCATATTTTATATAAGTTATAATAGTTATGATGCTAATAAATTTCATGAATTCTATTTAAGTTAAATCATATTACCTCTTTTATACTCATAAGCATATCTATTTATAGATAGAATTACTACTGAATTTATATAATCAACAGGTATGAAATGCTCAAAAAACTGCCTAGGCATTGCATTAGTAATATCTTTAATATGTATAACTAATGCACTAGAGTAAGTGTAAGAAACTTAATGAGAGTTAATAGTATAATTTTATTAGCTCATAATAAACTATTTATATTACTAAAGTTTATTGCTTCTCTATCCTTATTTTGATTATAGTTACTATTATGATTACTATCACTTGATATATTTATTTCACTAATACCTTCTTCTTTCAATTCATCATTTATATATTGATTAGTATTCGAATTATTTGTAGAAAAACTTATAAACTTTATATGACCTACTGCAACTTCAATTCTTACTTCTGGTTATGAATTAAAAAAAATTACTTAATGATTTTTGCTTAGTGCTACTCATATAATAGTTGCTAAAAGTTGTTTGGTTTTCTATAATTTATCTAAAAGTAAACAAGTAATATTTTTACTTACAACTAGACCCAAAACAGAAACCTTGACATTTTCTTTAATATTTAGTGAAATTTATTTTATTGTAAGGTTAAAAAAAATTTAATGACTCATTTTTTTTTAAATAAGTAAAAAAATTTATATACTTCAATATATGCATGATATTTCCTAGTACTTATTTTGGTTTTTCTCTCACAGCAAGTATATTAAGCACTAAAAATATCTAAACTATAATTATAAAAAGGTTGATGACCAAGAATTTTTCAAGTTTTTTGCTTAGATAATTTAGTGCCAACTGATTTTAACTTGTTTTAAACAAATATTTTTGTATTGTAATAATTTTTTGATTATATTATATATACAAATTAAATATGTAATGCTCACTTACTTATCAATTTTAACTTTTTTAAATCAATTAATTTACTTAATATAATTATTGACATATTTTACTATCTAACAATAAATTCTCATAATTAATACATGATTCTGTCTTATATAAAACTCTAATGAGCCTATAATATTTATTATGAAAGCCTTATAACATAAGTAAGTTGTATATTAATTTTAAGCTTAGTTATCTTATTTTAATTAATAAAATTGTAATATATTTCTTGTACTAAATCTAGTACAATATACTAAATCTAGTACAGGTAAATTCAATCTATTAATTTAAAAAAATTTTCATAAAGTTTCATCAAATGGTTATTGAGATATTTTTGTTCAAAATTTTTAAAAAAATTTTGTAACTTTTGTATCAAGATATCTTGATAACCACCTAATAAAATTTGATTAAAAAATTTTTAAAATAGTTATATGAATTCTTAAAATCTAAATAAATAAAGTTTTATTAAATTATATTGAGTAGTTGTTAAGATATCTTTACTCAAAGTTTTAATTTTTTGAAATATACAATATTATACAAAAAGGAAATATATTATCATTATGTGATGAAGTACAAGGTTATTATTATAAAACTATTTGTATATGCAAAAAATATATACAGATATTTAACTCAATTAACTAACAATAATAAAAGAGATAAGAAAAGTTTTATTCCTATAAAATAGCTATAAATAACTTATTTATAATCTACAAAAAATAAACTAAAAATTTGATCTTGGAGTAAATTTAAAATACTTAACTAGATAAGTTTCAAATTCTTTAAATTTGGATAAGTTTAAAATACTTAAAATCTTGAACTTGAATAAGTTTAAAATACTTAAAATCTTGAACTTGGATAAGTTTAAAATACTTAAAATCTTGAACTTAGATAAATTTAAGATATTTTGAAGAATTTCAATTATTTAATAATACTATATTTATTTTGAAATTAAAATTGCTAAGTATGTATTTAATAAAAATTATCAGATTATATATATATAAATACATATATATATAGTAGTAGTTATTATACAATAGAATGAAACCTGAATCTGAGTCAGAATTTTATTGATATACTTTTTAATCCTAATCAAATAAAGTATCAAAAAAGTAATCTAAAAAACTCAGGTTTATACCTTATTATACTATTACTATTTTATTATACAAAAAAAAAGATTGAAATAATATAGCTACATTTTTTTTATAATAAGTCAATTACTGGTATATGAGGTTTTTGC